AGTGCATCTGGCTTTGAGTTCTTTGAGCCTGGGCGATAAGAGAGAGTAAAATCAAACTGATTAAAGAAAAGGGCCCAGTGAGCGTGGAGTTTAACCTCTTTGCCTCTCTAATGTAGGTGAGGTTCTTGTGATCGGTCCAGATGAGAACTGGATGTTTGGCCCCCTCCAACCAGTGTCTCCATTCTTCTAATGCCACCTTGACTGCCAAAAGCTCACTGTTCCCAATGTCATAGTTCCTCTGTGCTGGTTATTCTGCCCCTTAAATGTTTTCTTCTTCATTAAGAAAATTATAATTAAAAGGTTCTTAGTAATTTGCCCTGTAGATTGTGTTATTGAATTAGAAGGCAGTGGCTCTGTAATTGTTCTTTAGACGAACACTGCCATCTTGTGTTCACATTGCGGAAAGCAGCAAGTGACAGGAAATAGGAAGAACAGAGTAGCCATTTTGTAGAAGCTATTGCAGTGGAAAGACCTACGTGCTGTGTCTCTGCTTACAACTTGGTATTCTGCCCTTGATAAGGCATGATCTTTTTACAAAGAAAATAAGGAAGAAATATTACAAGTGGTACATCAGTAAAGCTTCAAAGAATGCTACACTGTCTCACGAGTGCTTACTGAAGCCATTTATGTTTAGCTCGCTGCATAGGCTAAATAAGTACATTTGGCTGAGGGCAGAAGAGTAAAAAGATCGTCTAAACATCAAGTGCATCCCTGCAATCTTGAGAAACATTGCTTTAGCAAACATGTCCAAACATGGAGACAGCTCACGTCTTTCGCAACTGGAAGTCAGATCAGAGTGCAAATCATCCACGTCACGTCGATCAAGTAGCTCAGCAGCCAGCCTCGCTGCAGCACAAGCACGAGCCAACGCTGAAGCTGCCCGCGCTAGAGCAGAGTATGCCAAACGACAAATAGACATGGAGGTTGAGAAGGCTCGTATGGAAGCTAAACTTAACGCACTCAAACAAGAGGGAGAAGCTGAGGCTGCACTCGCTGCAGCAAGGGTCCTGGAAGCTGCAGTTTTGGACCAGCCAGGGTTTGTGGAACCACCAAACCTACCTGCTACGGCCACATCTGTCAGTCGCACTGAAGAGTATGTAAAAAGCCACTTTCACAATAATACTAATATGAAACCAGAAAAAATGGACAAAGAAGAGGATGACACTCACAACAGCCATAATGTAGAACCAAGCCAACCACACACTGCTCCAGATTCATGTGAATACACCAACAGATCTCCACCCGCTTGTCAGTCCAGGTTTTCACCACCTCACTCAAACCTAAGAACATCTGACATATCACACCTTGCTACTCTCCTCTCACGTCGTGATCTATTGACAGCAGGGCTCACAGTGTTTGATAATAAACCGGAGACTTATTTAGCCTGGAAATCTATGTTTCACAATGCCACTGAAGATTTGGATCTAAAATGTAGTGAAGAGCTTGACTTAATCATTAAATGGCTCAGTGGCGAATCCCTTCAGCATGCTCTCAGAGTTAGAGCTGTACACATTAACGACCCAGTCACTGGTCTTCAACGTTTATGGCAAAGGCTAGACAGAAATTATGGCTCGTCTGAAGTCATTGAAGCTTCTTTGTTTAAACGTTTGGAGAGTTTTCCTAGAGTGTCGCCCAAAGACAACCACCTCTTACAGGAGTTAGCTGATCTGCTTTTAGAAATCGAAGCAGCCAAAAACGAAGGTTATCTTCCTGGCCTCAGCTTTCTTGACACTTCAAGGGGAATAAACCCAATAGTAGAAAAGCTCCCACATAGCATGCAAGAGGCGTGGGTCAACCAAAGATCTAAGTATAAGAAAGAGCATGATGTTCACTATCCACCTTTCACCTTCTTAGTTCAGTTTGTTAATGGCTATGCTGAAATGAAAATGGATCCCAGCTTCTCTCTGCAAAACTGCTACAGTGCACCTATGAAAGTGGAACGGCCACCAGTAAGACAACCACGGTTCAGAGCCCCAGTGACAACAAACAAAACGCAGATTGGCGCATCCTATAATAAGTTACAGTCTCAGCCACTTGAACCAGTTAAACAGTGCCCTGTTCACAAAAAGCCACATTCACTTGCCAAATGTAGAGGCTTTAGAATGAAAACACTAGATGAGAGGAAGAGTCTTCTGAAACAGCTTTCCATCTGCTTCAAGTGTCTTTCGTCTACTGATCACAGAGCCAAAGACTGTAAGGATGTCATTTGCTGTTCAGAATGCAACAGCGACATGCACATTACTGCTATGCATCCTGGTCCACCACCGTGGACAGTTGCATACTCCGAAATATTAACAGAGGCACAAGGCGGGGAGCCAGAACCCCTAAGCCCCAAAGTGTCCACGTCCAATTGTACTGAAGTATGCGGGCAAGGACTGCAAGGAAAGTCTTGTTCAAAAATTTGCCTTGTCAGTGTATATCACAGGTCAGAACCGAATAAGAAAAGGAAAATGTATGCCATTTTAGATGACCAAAGTAATGTCTCACTGGCTCGGTCCCCCTTTTTTGATATGTTTGATCAGCATGGTGAAGTCCTTCCATATACACTGAAAACATGCTCTGGCACAGTAGACAAAATGGGGCGTAGAGCTCATGGCTTTGTCATTGAGAATATTAACGGGAAGGTGTCTATGCCACTGCCTAGTCTCACTGAATGCAATCAGATTCCAGACAACAGGAGCGAAATACCTACAGCAAAAGCAGCAGCTGTTCATCCTCATTTGTCTCATATAGCTGGAGAAATACCACCTCTAAATCCATCAGCAGATATTCTCCTCCTCCTGGGTCGAGATGTCATTCGAGCTCACAAGGTACGACGCCAAGTGAACGGCCCCCATGATGCACCTTACGCTCAGCAGCTCGATCTTGGGTGGGTCATTGTTGGAGATGTCTGTCTCTCAGGAGCTCATAGGCCTACAGTGAACTCTTACAAGACAAATATTCTAGATAATGGTCGCCCCAGTTTCCTCTCACCCTGTGAAAATAGATTTTACACTAAACTGAAGTTCACAACAGATAGCCCTCTTGTCCAAAGCACACAAGTCAAAGATGAGCTGGGAAATTCATATTTAAACAAACAACAGAGGATGAAAAGATAGCACTGTCTGCAGATGATCAGGCTTTTGTGAACATTATGCGAAATGAGTTCGCTAAAAATGAATCTAATGACTGGGTAGCCCCACTTCCTTTCCGTTCTCCACGACCACGCTTACCCAACAACAGAGAGCAGACTCTCAATCGCCTCATGTCATTAAGAAAGACACTGAAAAGAAAACCTGAGATGGAGGACCACTATCTGGAGTTTATGGAAAGGCTCTTCAAAAAAGAACATGCAGAAAAGGCTCCTCCCATCAAACCCCACCAAGAATGTTGGTATCTTCCACACTTTGGCATTTACCATTCACAAAAGCCAGGTAAAATAAGAATTGTTTTTGACTCAAGTGCTGAGTGTGAAAATGTCTCTCTAAATCAGGTGTTGCTTAAAGGCCCTGATTTAAATAGCAGTCTTGTAGGTGTGCTTTTGCGCTTCAGGAGTGACCTATATGCTGTTATGGCTGATGTGGAGCAAATGTTTCACAACTTTAGAGTCAGGGAAGACCATCGCAACTACCTGCGCTTTCTGTGGTTCCATGACCACAACTTGGATGGACAAGTGGAAGAATTTCACATGACTGTTCATGTGTTTGGAAATTGCCCATCACCATCAGTTGCTATTTACGGACTCAAGAGAACTGCTGAAGAAGGAGAAGAGGAATATGGCAGTGATGTGAGGGAATTTATAGAGCGCCATTTTTATGTTGATGATGGGCTAAAATCATTCACCTCTGAGACTCAAGCTATTGACGTGCTACGTAGAACGCAAAAAATGCTGGCTCAGTCTAACATTCGCCTACACAAGATCTCATCGAATAGTCCTGTCGTTACCAGTGCTTTTCCACATGAAGATCTAGCCACAGGGCTGCAGGGACTCGATCTTGGACAACATCCACCACCCATGCAACACAGTCTGGGATTAGGTTGGGACCTGTCTACGGATCAGTTCTCATTTCAAGTTGAGATCAGTGACAAGCCTTTCACCAAACGAGGAGTGTTATCTGTTATCAATAGTTTATATGACCCCCTTGGGTTTGCTGTGCCAGTCAGCATTGAAGGTCGCTCCATTCTGAGAGAGATTTCTACTGACATCAGTGAATGGGATACCCCACTACCGAAGGAGAAACAAGAGAGGTGGCAAAAATGGAAAGACTCTCTAAAACACCTACAACATCTTAAGATTCCTCGAATGTACACATGCATTCCATTGTCCAAAGCACAAAGAAAGGAAGTGCATATTTTCTGTGACGCTTCCACTAAAGCTGTTGGGGCTGTGGCCTATCTGAAGCTCATCGACATAAATGGGAAGAGTGAAGTGGGTTTTCTTCTCGGCAAAGCTAGGCTTGCACCAAAGCCAGATATCACCATTCCTAGGCTGGAACTTTGTGCCGCTGTGCTGGCCGTAGAAGTGGCAGAACTGATCCAGGGAGAGCTTGACACTATCATGCATGAGGTAAACTTTTACACAGATTCAAAAGTGGTGCTTGGCTATATCTTCAATGAGAAGAGACGCTTCTATGTGTATGTCCATAACCGTGTGGAACGCATTAAACGTTCAACCGAGACCCATCAATGGCATTATGTGTCCACACATCTTAACCCAGCTGATCATGCCACAAGAGCACTGCATGCTAAGCATCTACCCCTTTCTACATGGCTCAGTGGACCTGCATTCCTCGCCGACTCAGGGCAAAGTTCGACACAGGAAAAGCCCTTTGATCTTATTAGCCCCGAAACTGATGCTGAACTTCGCCCGGAGATTGTATCATGTGCTACCTCCTTGTCAGAACACAGGCTCGGAACTGCAAGATTTGAAAGATTCTCCAGTTGGACTTGTTTGAGAAAGGCTGTGGCTAGGTTGCAACACATTGCTAAGACTTTCAAAGAAAACTCAGAAGAAGTATGTCACGGATGGCACAAGTGTAACAAGTACCTTACTGAAGAACAACTTCAGGTAGCAGGGGATACCATTATCTATGCAATTTAAAGAGAGGTGTTTGCAGATGAAATCAGGGGTATGGAAAAGGACAATCCCATGCACAAACAAAGCCCTTTCTACAAGTTAAGTCCCTTTATGGACAGTAACAAACTTCTCAGAGTCGGAGGTCGACTTACAAGGGCTCAATTGACAACAAATGAAAAGCATCCTGTAATTATTCCCAGCAAACACCACGTATCTCAGCTCATAATTAGACACTTTCATGCACAAGTACACCACCAGGGCAGACACTTCACTGAAGGTGCGATCAGAGCTGCAGGGTTTTGGATAGTTGGTGGGAAGAGAGCGGTTAGTGCTGTCATCTTTCGCTGTGTCACATGTCGAAGACTAAGAGGCAAACGGCAAGAGCAAGTTATGTCAGATCTGCCAGAAGACAGAATGAACACAGATCCTCCTTTCACATGTGTAGGACTAGATATCTTTGGCCCATGGACTGTCACAACTAGGAAAACGCGAGGAGGCCAAGCGGAGTCAAAAAGATGGGCAGTCATCTTTGTATGTATGAGCACTCGTGCCATACACATTGAAGTGATCGAATCTATGGACACTTCATCGTTCATCAATTCCCTGAGACGATTCTTTGCCCTACGTGGTGCTGCTAAGTTGCTCAGATCCGACTGTGGCACAAATTTTGTGAGTGCTTGCCGAGAACTCCAAATAAGTAAACTGGGGTGTCACAATAAAGAAATCAACAACTATCTGGAAGATAGTGGATGTCAGTGGCTGTTTAATCCACCACACGCTTCACATATGGCGGGATCTTGGGAGCGTATGATTGGAGTCAGTCGGCGAATTCTGGATGCAATGCTGCTGCATCATGGAAATGCTAAGCTTACACACGAGGTGTTAGTGACGTTCATGGCTGAAGTCACTGCAATTGTCAATGCACGGCCCCTTACAGCAGTTTCCACTGATCCTGAGCATCCTGAGATCCTCACGCCTGCTATGTTGCTCACACAAAAGGTTGGAGTGCCTCCGGTTCCACCGGGCCAGTTTGACAATCATGACCTCTTTAGAGCACAATGGAGACGTGTTCAGTATCTTGCGAATGTATTCTGGGGACGGTGGAAGAGAGAATACCTCAGTGGATTACAACATCGTCGCAAGTGGATGACACCAAAACCAAATCTACAAGTCGGAGATGTCGTTCTTCTCAAGGAAGGACAGGAAAAAAGGAACGACTGGCCTCTTGGACTCATTACAAAAACTTTTCCAAGCAAGGATGACATGGTCAGGAAAATTGAAGTCAAAGTCATTCGAAATGGGGAAAAGAGACTATACTTGAGGCCCATCAGTGAAGTTGTCCTTCTGGTCTCTAGGGACTGCACCTAAAAGCCTCACATATCCTTTGAAACAGTGGTCTATTTAAGTTGGTGTGACTTCTTACAGATGTCAGACGGGGAGTATTCTGCCCCTTAAATGTTTTCTTCTTCATTAAGAAAATTATAATTAAAAGGTTCTTAGTAATTTGCCCTGTAGATTGTGTTATTGAATTAGAAGGCAGTGGCTCTGTAATTGTTCTTTAGACGAACACTGCCATCTTGTGTTCACATTGCGGAAAGCAGCAAGTGACAGGAAATAGGAAGAACCGAGTAGCCATTTTGTAGAAGCTCTTGCAGTGGAAAGACCTACGTGCTGTGTCTCTGCTTACAACTTGGTATTCTGCCCTTGATAAGGCATGATCTTTTTACAAAGAAAATAAGGAAGAAATATTACAAGTGGTACATCAGTAAAGCTTCAAAGAATGCTACACTGTCTCACGAGTGCTTACTGAAGCCATTTATGTTTAGCTCGCTGCATAGGCTAAATAAGTACATTTGGCTGAGGGCAGAAGACTGGTGTAAGCCTGTGAGAAAGATAAGCACATGGGTGAAGCTTGTTATCAGTCTTACTTCTCTGAGAAGGGACCGCTCCAATGCCAATGTCAGAAGCATCAACCTCCACTACAAAAGGAAGCTCTGGATCTGGAAGAGCTAAAATGGGGGCAGATGTGAAGAGACTCTTCAGTCTGTTGAAGGCCTTGTTGGCCATCTCAGTCCAAAATTACAAATGACTTGGCAGTCTTCATGGTGAGGGCAGTGAGGGGTTCTGCAATGGAGCTGAAGCCTTTAATAAATCACCGATAAAAATTGGCAAACCCCAAAAATCGTTGTACCTCTTTAACTGAACATGGTTGTGGCCAATCCAGTACTGCCTTAATCTTGACAGGATCCATCTGAAGGCTACATTTGGATACTATGAACCCAAGAAACGACACTTTGGAGACATGGAATTCGCTCTTCTCCAGCTTAACGAACAGTCTGTGTCTCAACAACTGGGCGAGAACCTGCCGGACATCTTGTACATGCTCTTCATAGCTACATGAAAAAATAAGTATGTCATCCAAGTAAACTAAAACAAATCTGTTCAACTTCTCCCTGAAGACATCATTAATGAATGCCTGGAAGACGGCTGGGGCATTTACAAGGCCAAAGGGCATTACCTGATATTCATAGTGGCCTGTTGGGGTGTTAAAAGCGGTCTTCCACTCATCTCCTTCTTTCATCCTGACCAGATGGTAAGCATTTCCATGGCACCCTGCAGTATCTCAAAAGCAGTGTTCATTAGAGGTAATGGGTAACGATTCTTAATGGTGATGTGATTCAAACCTCTATAATCAATACAGGGTCGAAGACTCCTATCCTTCTTGGAAACAAAAAAGAAGCCTGCTCCTGCAGATGAGGTTGAAGGGCGAATGAATCCACTGTCTAGAGCCTCATTCAAGTATTTCTCCATGGCAGTTCTTTCAGGAACGGAGAGGGAGTACAATCTACCTTGAGGTGGGCTTGCTCCAGGTACAAGTTCAATAGAACAATCATAAGGACGTTGCAGGGGTAATGAAGTAGCCTGAGACTTACTAAAGACTTCATTGAGATCCATGTATTCTTGGGGAATTCGAGACAAACATGGAGGAACCTTAGGTGGCTCTGGCAATGGGGCTGGAGACTCGAAATTTAATGGCTTGAGCTTGGGTATTACCCGCACTTCTGTGGTAGGTATGGATATAGTGTGGGTTGAGGGTGATCTGGAAGGATCGGGCTGAGGTCCAAGAAATGTCTCCAGTGGCTCGAGAGGATGGCAAAAAGAAAAATCAGAAACACAGCAGTTAATACCCCAACTCTTTACCACACATCTGGACCAGTCTATAAAAGGTTTGTGGCTTTTTCCTTCAGTTCAGGGCAAGTGGAGCAGAAGTGGCCTGGCTTTCCACAGTAGAGGCAGCATCTGTCTTTCATCCGCCGATCCCGTTCGGTCTGGATCAATCTAGTTCTCCCCAATTGCATTGGTTCATCAAGATCATTGGATTAAAGGAGCTGAGTGATGGTGCTAGAATGTACATCAGGGTCAAATAACCTGGGGCCTCATGTAACAACGCTGCGTACGCACAAAAACTTTGCGTACGCCAGGTTTCACGCTCAGAATAGCTCACATATGGATTTACTAACAATGAACTGAACGTGGGAATGTGCGCAGCTTCACGGCAGCTTTATGGCTGGTGTACGCACATTTTTTGTGTGTGTCTGTTTTATTTCCATTGGCGACTCCTAGAGGCAGTTGTGTTAATTTCCTCTCTACAAAGTGTCTGAGCCTTGCAATGGCAGCTGAATGAGACGGGTTCATCTAGCAGGTATAAAAGGTTTCCATACCCTACATTTGACCAGCTAAACATTAAAGCACAATTTGCAGCGGTCGCCTGTTTTCCCAATGTAATCTGAGCTATCTACTGCACGCACATTGCTATAAAGACACTATCTGAAGATGAATTTGCATGCGTGAATCAGAAACATTTTCATTCACTAAATGTGCAAATGGGGCTTTTCCCAGTTGAGCTAACTCCTCACTAGATGAACCCAAGAGCAGAAGAATAATAAGGGAACGTGAGGCTTTGGTTTCAGAAAAAAATAAACAGATAATCTTTACTAGAAAAATAGAATTCAAAAGTACAACAGAAATAACTGAAGCCGAGCTTCTAGTAAACAGGCAAAACAAATTAGACACAAGGGTCAAAAACACAACAGTAGAATGTCACTTAGCTTCTCTAGGCAATCTGGAGAACACCGGGTGGTACTGGCTCAAGACTGAACACAGTAGCTTGTAACACAGACACGTATATAGGGCAAGACACAGGTGTTGCAAATCAAGCTTGAGTGGTGGCACACAGCAGATGGTGAGAAAGTGGTGCCATCCACTGTTCAGGAGGAAGCATGAAAATTGGATCCTGTTGTGCAAGGAGACAGGAGCACCTCCTTCTGGTCAGGAGGAGGAATGCAGCTTAATGAGTTCTTACAGACTAGCTGATTCACTAAGATTGTAAATTTATCATTAAGAAATTATTATTTTTAAAATAAAAAAATAAAATTGTGTATCATCCAACCAAAAACCACAAATTCCCCCCCGAAAATAGATGCATTTTGAAATCAGCTTTTCAGAATCTAGTTTATTTAGCAACTCCATTTTTTGCTGGTAAACTTAAAAGGGTCAAAAATCTCAATGATTTTGTGGATGTATTTTGCAAAAAGGTATCAACAGAAGAAGATGTATTAATGATATTGTGAACATGGATAAATGATATATTAGGGTCTGTATAGTGAGTGTGTGTATATAGTAATACCTTTTGTACAGTTTGCACATTTGTCTAGTTTATTAAGTAATTAATTTATCTTTATTCATTTTAGACATGCATATTCTGTACGCTGTATAATAAAAGTATGTGAAAAATAACTGACCTGAAAAGTGGTTTTAAATTAAATATTGTTTTTTATTTGGTTTGCATGTGTACTTCTTAAATTATTTTAAGGGATAAATTGCAATGTTTTAGGAATAATTAATTAAATAATTTAAACCACATTATTTTATTTACAAGAAAAAAAAATAACATTACTCATTATTCACTTTCATAATTTTTTTTGTGTGCCACTCCAAGATTAGGTGTGGCCTCATCTGGCCACCCCTAAGGAAATTTTCTGGGGGCGCCACTGACCCACACACAGTTCAGTCCAAACAGTTTACAAAAATTGATTTTCATCATTGGTGCCTTTTAATAAAATGTACAAAAACAAGTGAACAGTAACCATTGTACATTATAACAAGAATATATTCAAAATAAACAAAAAGAAGTAAGAGAGAGAGAGAGAGAGAAAATAAAAACACGAAATAGCGAGATGAACATATAACATTTTATAACTTAATTAAATGTATTAATTAAATTACAATACACAAAGTGTGAATATGCTGCAAAAGATAATAACAGCAGTTTTTAGGTTTGTGCTTTTGGAAATTGATCTTTACTGTGCCTAATTAGACTAAAATATAGACTATTTTTGAGCTCGAACAATGTGTTTTTTGCTAATGAAATTGTTGCAAAATGCTTGCTCTGGTAATGAAAAGGTTATGTTGGTTGTGTTTTTAATGTGACTGTAAAAAGGGAAATTTCAGGGAGATGACGTGTCTAGGAATCTGGCGTGTCTAGTAATCCTATTGTGGCTCAGAATAATGTTCTTTGTGTTTCTTAAAATGTGTTTATGAATGCTTGTATTCTTGCACGTATTTATATATTTATTTTTGATTGACTGATAAAACATTTCTGTGTGGAGTTTGCATGTTCTTCCCGTGTTTGCGTGGGTTTCCTACAAGTGCTCCGGATTCTCCCACAGTCCAAACACATGCGCTATAGGTGAATTGGGTAAGCAAAAGTTGTCCATAGAGTAAGTGTGTAAATGGGAGTGTATAGATGTTTCCCAGTGATGGATTGCAGCTGGAAAGGCATCCGCTGCGTAAAACATATGCTGGATTAGTTGGCGGTTCATTCCACTGTGGTGACCCCAGATTTATAAAGGAACTAAGCTGAAAAGAAAATGAATAAATGATTTGATTAACATGGGGTGGTGCAGGCAAGGCAATATATAAGAGGCTAATCAAAAAGCAGTTATAACATTTAACAATAAATAATAAGATAATGCAGGGAGCTTAGAAGCACATAAGCCAGGAAACATAATCCACAAGAAACAGAACATTCCGAACAGCTATTGTCTCACAAACGTTGCTTAAAGGCTAACTAACTACATGTTTCACTTGAGAGGAGCCTATTCCATATTATGTGTGCATGCATTCTCACACCTGAAATTCGTACAGTTGCTTGTCCCTTCAAGGGTACATCCTCTCATGCACACTGATTAGGCCACATAAGGAAAGTGCACATGATGACAGCTGGTGATATCACCGCATACAGCTGTTCTGTGACGTGTCTGAAATGCCATCAGTACTTTTAACTTTTCACAGTCTGTATTTTGTGAGTGGTTTAGAGAGCATATAAATTGTGTTATTAAAATTTTCATAAATTTTTGAACATCTGAATAAGAAATACTTTCAAGAATCTAAGATTTAAATGTAACTCAGGCTCTTTTTTGATACGGACCCCTATATGCATTTCTGAAGAGAGCGGAATACATCGCAGGAGATACTTTTTTTTTTTTTTTTGCAGTTTTTGTTTTTGCAAATCTACACTTTTCAAATCTCAATGTTTTCTCGTGAGTGCCATTCGCACCCACTGTTCTCGCGTAAATCCATCGACTGATGACCGAACAATGACCGATGATTGTTTTCAAAAGCACAGATCAACCTGCCCACCGCCTTCCCTAAATCCATCCAGCA